TGCACCGACTCGCTTGGTGCGTTCCAGGCTGGGTTTAAAAGCTAACACAAGGCAGAGGAGTGTTTTTTACTCATCCAAATTTTTCTTAGGATTTTTTAGAGAATTTTCCCGGAACGATGAACTGCTGTACGAAGCAGTACTGACACTGATCACAGTCAAAAACTCTTCCCTCGTAAACACACATGAAAAGCAGAGGCTCTCGAAAGCAGTCCGAATGATAACATGTGCCAACAGCAACCACCCTCTGGCAAAGTTGTGGCTCCCTCTTTCAAAGCCCCTCGAAACGAGTGTTCGAATCGTAATGGGTTGCTTGTACACCGAACAACAGCAATTAAAATATGCACGAGGGTTTTTATAATCTTGGGCTTGCCTGTCGCGATGAAAAACCACTGCGCCGTTTTACTATTCAAAACAGCTATGCCACGCTCAGCATGTGCGAGCCTCCCAGTAACATCATCAACATGGGATACCCGCACTGACGTCCAGAGCATTCGTGGTATTCCTGAGAATAGAAACTACCCAGATTGGAATGCATCGGGCGGACCCGTGCGATTATGTGTTTTTGCATCGGATTTGAAGTACTCAGGTCATTAACTGCATGAATGGTGTTGCTTTACAGCTACCATCTGCGGTCACTAGCATGAATCACCATAAATCTTGCATAAAGTAAACCTACAACTTCCATTTAACGGCACCTCTTAAAAAAGTAACTTAGCTGTTCAGTGAGGAATTTTCGCTAAAGCTTTAAGTGCCCGTACGTAAGAACCACGCATATCTCAAGAACGAATTTGAAACACTTAAGCTGCACTTGGACAGGGAACATCCCCCTAAAATTTCAACTTTCCAGCTTTCCTGGTTACCGAGCTAGCAATTTTTCCGCCAAAACCTTCACATGCCCGTACGTGGGTACTCCACGTGCCTGCAAAGCTGAGTTTCAAATTTTTGAATTGTTCGTGGACAGGGAATATCCTCTTAAAATTTCAGCCTTCCAGCTTTTCTGGCCACCGACTTAGTAATTTTCCCTCAGAAATTTTCATACGCCCTTACGTGAGCACCACGCATAGCTTGGGGCTGAATTTGAAATACTTGAGTTGTACTTGGATAGGGAACATCACCCCAAAATTTCAGCTTTCTAGCTTTCCTGATACCTGAGTTAGCAATTTTCCCGCTAAAACTTTCATAGGCCTTTACGTGAGTGCCGCGCATGCTTGGGGGTTGAGTTTAAAATCTTTAACTAGTACATGCACGGGGAACATCCCTACAGAGTTTCAGCTCCTTAGCTCGTGTGGTTCCCGAGATCACTTTCCCGCCAGAAAATTTGCATATTTCTTTAAAGCGTCCGTACGCGGCACCCAGGCACCCGCGGGCGATGAAATTAAAATGGGAGGAACGCGCACGGTATGGGCACATAATCCCAAAGTTTCAGCCTTCTCGTTTTCCCGGTTCTCGAGTTTAAAGTGGGTGACGGTAAGGTCCGAGCACACAGACACGCACAGACAGCCCCTTCCCAAAATGCGTTTTTGCAATTTGCGTATGTGCAAAAACGCATAAAAAGGGAGAGGACACAGGAGGTTGGGAATATGCCTTCCAAAATCTTAGCCTCCGAACTTTTCTGGCTGTTGAGTTGAAAGCGGGAGACAAAGTCTACTCGCTTCTGAACACATACACACGGACGACTTCTCGACAAAATGCGCTTCTGCTCACCGTAGCAGCGCTAAAGCGCTGCACAGCAAAACGTATACGGACAAAAATTATCGTTTCATTAAAACGAACAGCTGCTGCACGCAAGAAATTTTTTCACCTTCGTACTTCCTGTTTGCATCACCGTAAAACACGAACAGTTGAGACTGGAAATAGTTAAGAAGCCGTTGAAGTTCGAACTTCAACACTTCACATAACGGATTGCCGAATTGAGTTAAAACTCCTTTTTCATCCTCCGGCCATGAGAAAAACAAGGGACACACTCGTCTTCATTGAAACCCGTGATTATGCCGGTAGCAGTCTTGACACTCCAATTTTTTGGCGTATCATTTTTCTGTTGGCGCGCTGTTACAAAATCTTTGGCTGTTATCACAATTACAAATCGCCGATAGAAACAAGAAGTATCCACTATCACCACCTAATCGCTCACTTTGACAAGCGCTGCATGCCGCAGACCCCAGAATTTTAGTTTTCAGTATTTAAGCTCTGATTATGCGTTTTTGCATATATGCAAATGCGAAAACGCATATTGCGACGACCGCGGTGCGCGTGTGTGTATGTGTGTATGTGTGCGTATGTGTGTGTGTGTGTGTGTGTGTGTGTGCGCGTCTGTCCGGGTATTTCAACTCGGCACCTAAGCAAGCTCCGGGGCCAAAATTTTGCGAGGGTGTTCCCTGGCCAAGTGCCACCCTAGGACCGCGGCACCAATCCTCAAGCACGTTTAGACCCCGTGCACGAGCGCCTCAAAGTTTTGGCGGGAAAATCGCTAAACTGGGAACCAGAAAGGCTAGAAAACAGAAATTTTGGGATTATGTTTCCCGTCCATGTAGAACTCAAAGATTTTAAATTCAGCCCCCAGGTATGCGCATTTCCCGCGTACGGCCCCGTGAGATTTCCTGGCGCGAAAATCGCTAGCTTGGGAACCACGGAAGCCGGGGGGCTACAACTTTCGGCAAATGTTCCCAGTTCATCCACAATTCAAATTTATCAAATTCAGTCTCCCGTTATGTGTGTTTGTCATATACGGCCTCGTGAAAATTTTTGGCTGTAATTTGGTTAACTCGGAAACTGAGAAAGCTGGGGACCTGAGATTTCAAGCTGGGGACCAGTCCAAGTATAGTGTAGGCAATTAACTTCCCGAAATTCGAAGACCAGTGTGTCAGAGGTTCCTAGCTAGCGGAATTTTGAATGATCTTATTGCAGCACTAAGCACTGCAAAAACGTTTGATCGCACAGGCCCACCCGGTGCGCGTCGCCAATGATTTTTCAAGTGAATGTAGTAAGTTTTCTTTCGTGTTGGGCAGTGTGTGAAATTTTGCAATTTTGTTTATTTTAGCATTTCCAAAATAGATGATGTGAATATGGAATACAGCGTACAGTTAACGTTCCGTGAAAGTTGGGTTGATGGACGACTGGCATTCGGTTATCCACGAGATAACGCTCCAGAATTCGTAATCCTTACCGCGGGACAACAAATTTGGATGCCGGATTCATTCTTCCAGGTGTTACGGCACTCATAGTGTGTAAAATAAGTGCATCTGGCTGCTCCACCAATTTGTTGAAGTTACAAATAAACCCAGGCTGCAATACACCAGGCTTGCCAGTGCGATCATGCGTTTTTGCGCTAAGCCTGCAAATCGTTAAGAACAGGAATGGTTACTACGCTATAGTTAAATACATGGACTCACTTTGGCCTTACCACATGCAGAGTGAAGCGGGTTTGACTGGGATAAGGGTATTGTATTATTGGGGCATTTGGACTTCCAGCGCGCATGATTGTCAGTTTTTCGTATGAAACCCGGTCGGTTTTTCGATGAACGAATCCAGGCTGGAACGCACCGGGCGATCCCGTGCGATCATGTGTTTTTGCACCGGACTTGAAGTACTCAGGTCATCAACTGCATGAATGGTTGTTGCTTACACTTACCTTTTGCGGTCACTAGCATAAATCACCATAAATTTTGCATAGAACAAATGTACAATTTCCATTTAATGGTCGTTCTTGAAAAGTAACCTAGCTGTTCAGTGGGAAATTTTTCCGCCAAAATTTTTAAATGCCTGTACGCAAGAACCACGCACACCACAAGGCTGAATTCGAAACACTTAATTTATACTTGGACAAGGAACATTCCTCTAAAATTTCAGCTTTCTAGCTTTTCTGGTTCCCAAGTAGTAATTTCCCCACGGAAACTTTCATGCTCCCTTACGTAAATACCACGCATGCCTGGGGGCTGAATTTGAAATCTTTAGCTAGAACATGCTCGCAAAGTTTGAGCCTTCTAGCTCTTCTGGTTCTTGAGTTGAAAGTAGGTGACAAAAAGTACACAGCCTCTTCCCAACATGCGCTTTTGCAGTTTGCATATATGCAAGAACGCACAAAAATGCAGATTTGAAGGAAGTCAAAAGAGGATTACGAAATCCGCAAAATGCACTCGTGCTTGAGTCTGCGGTAAAATTAAGTATTTGTCATGTCTGTGTGCGGGAAATTTCACCTCCAAACTGAACTACGACCACATATGAATATAAAATATCCCTGAAAGCCTCAGCCTCGCAGCTTATCCGATAAACGAAATAAGCACTTCGCCACAAATATGTTTTAAGTGCCCTAAGTTGTGGCGCAGGTGCAATTCGAAACCTAGTTTCGGTATACGATTTTCCATATGAACGATAAATATTCTAACAAAATTTCAGACACTGTTTTCCGACTAGTTTTCGAGTTAGCACAGTGCTAACTACGAAATTTGATGTAACCATACGTGTGGTGTAGATGTGCGCGGTAGTTGAATTTGAAGCCTTTAGCTCATATATGCACAGAAAATATCTTTGCAAAGTTCCAGCTTTCTATCTTATCTGGCTCGCGAAGTCGTTCCTCGCCTATTTTTGTGAGGCCCGTACACAAAACCTACGCATGTATCAGCGATGATTTTAAAAGGAGGAGTGGCAGGTGGGAATGAGAATATGCCACCAAAATTTCAGCTTTCCAGTTTTACTAATTGATGAGTTGAAAGTGCTTAACAAAGTTCACTCGCTTCCGAACACACATACACAAACAGACGATCTCTAGACTATATGCGTTTTGTTTCTTTATAGCAGCTATATAACGCAGCACAGAAAAGACGCATAAAAATTTAGTGTTGGGAAAAACAAGATGTAAATTTTTTAAACATTCGTCCTGAAGGAAAGAGGCTCGTTTAGATGTATGTATTTCAGCTTTTCGACAAGTCTTAAGTTTTTTTTGTTACTTTTTTGGACAAGGCAATCAGTTCCAGAACGAGAAACAAGCTCAGCGGCATATGATTGATAAGCCGAATGTTCTCATTCGTGTACATAAAGATGGTACCATCCTTTACAGTGTTCGAATATCACTTGTATTGTCGTGCCCCATGCATCTACAGGTTTTTCTTTCTTAGCTTTTAAATTTATTTAAATGATTTTTTGGCTTCCTTCATTCTCCCTTTATCAAACTCATTCCTTCGTTAATCATTTTTTCTGTTTGAAGCTTTGGAATCTGAAGTGTTTAAAAACAAAAGAAATAATCACCTCACCCCTTCCGCTTCTCCCTCGTCCTGCTTTGATATTGCACAAGGCAACCTTGCAACAGCCCACGCTGGGCAAAAAATGACATTTATGATTTTCTTCTGGCTGGAGGATACTGAAAATTGCTTTTCAGTGATTAATTAGCCAAGCTCAACTAGTTAGCTAAAATGAAGCTCATTATGCTGCTGCGATACAGCCACAGTTCAGGTCTAATATGCCATACAGCCATAGCTTAATCCTTCTGAATGGGCTACTTATCTCAAATTATTACTTTTTTTACTATGCGTTTTTTGCAGGTATGCAGTGTAAAAACGCATATTGTGGAGGGGTTGTCTGTGTATGCGTGTATCTGCGTGTGTATGTGCGTGTATGTGTGTCTGTGTGTGCGTCTGTGACGAGTTTTCGTCTCGAAACCCACAAAAGCTACAAGGCTGAAAATTTGGTGACTTAATCTACACATGCGTGCGGGCTCGTGTCCTCAAAATGGGCGCTCAGGTCCACAGCGGCCCTCACGTAGGGGCACTTGAAAGTTTTTTTGGCGAGAAAGCGTTTTCGGAAACGGTCCATGCTAGAAGGATGGAACTTCACAGAGATGTTCCCTGGCCGCGCCTAATCCAAGGATTTCAAATTCAGTCTTCACGCACCTCTGGGTCTCACGTACGCACACGTCAAAGTTTAAACTGGCAACATGTCAACTCCAGATTTAAGCTGACAAATAAGCTGAAGAGAGCTGCAGTTTTGCAGCGTTACTTTTCGCCTAATGTTGTGCCCGTGAAAGTGAATTACTTGTCAGCTGTTCTGCATCTCACGTACGAACACATGAAAATTTCGCGCGTGCGCTTTTGTAACTTTAGAATAGGACCAACCAGAGGACCCGAACTCCTGAGCATAACCGACGGTGGCCTTTGACCAGATGCACGCAAAAACGACTTACACACCACTTTCACGTCTCACGTGTAAACACCTGAAATTTGACATAACTCCGCAACCAGAGCAGCCGGAATGCTGAAACCTTCTGAGCTTTGTCCAGGGCCGTGTTTGAGGAAATGTACGCGAAGACAATATTCACGTTGCGACTTACGTAGCAGCACGTGAAATTTGACGCAACTCTGTAACCAGAGTGACTGTAGTGCTGAAATTTTCTGAGCGCTACCCAGAGCCGTATTTGCGTAACCGCAAGCGAAGAAAGCATTCACGTTGCCAATCACGCACGAACAAGTGAAATTTGACGTAAGCCTGCAACTGAAGCATCTAGAGCACTGAATTCTTTGGGCATGGATTGGGAGTCATTGTAATAATTTCTTACGGCCATGGTGGCCAGTCCCAATTCTTTTAGCTAGAAACATCTGTCAAGAAGAACGTGCCACTGGCGAAAAAAAGCTGCAGGGGAACTGTGCAAAAAACGCATCCTCGTACCGGCAGCCGGTGCGCTTTCTACTAGGTTTTTCTTTTAAGCACAGAGACGTCCCTACACGCCATCTGTAGCTACCACCAATCATTGTAGTTCTGATGACAAAGCTCGCTATTTTTTATGTCGAATATTTCTGGCGTATCCGTTTTAATCGGTGTTGCCTGCCCTGCCAATACGTAGCAGTTTCGCTTATCAGCGAAGTGAAGGACAACACAACAGCGGAGATAATGCACTTAAATCTAACAGTTCTGGCGAAGAGAACGAAGGTAGAAACGAATTAAAAAAAAAGTAGCTACGAGTCATGGCGAATACGCCCCTCCCTCCTTTTGCGCTTCTTAGGGCATAATTGCTCACTTTTCATAATCCTATATCGGTACCGGGAAGATAAAACTGAGCATACCGTACCCTGAATCAATTTTGCTTTAATCGGTCTGTCTGTTTCCTTACTTTTGGGCTTTGAGCTGCAACAGTAACTCGTTTGGCTCGTGAGTGCCATTCAAGATGAAAGCTGTGTTACTAGCGAAGCATGATTTCCTTGCTCGCTGATAATGTTCTAACCATCTTCCCCTTCAAAGTTTTGTCATCATGGAAGACTTCGCCGTTGAGGGGTAAACCTAGATCAGTCCTTTCTTGATAAACATAGAACGGAGGTGAAGCACGCAGTTGCCCTTCATCGCGCTGTTGGCAAATCTCATGCGCATCGTTGTTGTACGAAAATGTACTCAATTTCTTGACTAATTCTGCTCAGTGCTCATCATTTCATTTTTTCTATAAAAAACTGAGATATGCCAAGGTCGATAAGTCACTTTGCGCCTGTCAAGCTTCTGAGAGATATTTACTTCTAATCACAAGTCATTTAGGAACTCAGAGCAGCTAGTGTAATTCCTTACTTTTGTAATTTGAAAAGTCGCTGAGTAATACTTGCAGTATTATCCGATGGATATCCAAACGTGCCTTATCGACCTCGCCTCATATGCTTATACAACCGACGATATCGGTGAGATTTTTTTTAAAAAAAATTTTATTAAAATAAAAAAAAAAAAGAATAACAGACAAATGAAGTTCTAAAGAATAAGTAATAAGAGAAAAACATTATTTAAATCATTGGCGATGCACACCGGGCGGGACCGTGCGATCATGCGTTTTTGCAGTATTTCGTGCTGTAACGAGATCGCTCGGAGACCCATAGCTAGGATTTGTGGCATACTGGCCCTCGAAGTTCGGGAAGTTAATTGTCTATGCGGTACTTGGGCAGAGAACATTCCATTAAAATTTAACTTTCCAACTTCTCCGATTCTTGAGCTAGCAATTTTCTTGCCAAAGAATTTCATGGTTCCGTACACGTATCTGGGAAGTGAATTTGATATCTTTAACTTTTACAGAGGGCTGAGAAAATACCCTTAAAATTTCAGCCTCCCAGCTTTCCTGCTTCCCGAGTTAGCCATTTTGCCGCCAGAAATTTCCATGGGGCTGTACATAAGCGCAGCACGCACCGAGGGGCTGAATTCGATAACTTTAAGTTGTACATGTGCTGGGAACATTCCCTGAAAATTTCTGCTTCCCAGCTTTCCTGGTTCCCAAGTTAACGATTTTCGCGCCAGGAACCCCCCCGAGGCCATATGCAGGTACCACGCACTCGTTGGGGCTGAATTTGAAATTTTTGAGATCCATGTGGGCGAGCAACGTAATCTCAAAATTTCGGCTTTCTAGCTTTTCTGGTTCCCGAGTTAGCAATTTTTCCGCCAAAACTTTCACTCTCTCGTACGCGGGGCCCAGACTTGCATGAGGGTTGGTACCGCGGTAATGCAGTAGCACTTGATCGGGGAAATCAGTGGCAAAATTATGGCTTCGAAGCTTGCTTCGGTGCCGAGTTGAAACACCTGGACACACACGTACAGGTACCACAATATGTGTTTTTGCATTTGCACATAAGTAAAAACGCATAAAAATGAAGAATGTCTAATATAGACGAGTGACAAAAAAACAAAAATGCAACTGGGCAGGAAAGTTTCGATCTATTAAGTAGCAGTAACAATGCTGTTATCATGATTAATGGGAAATTAATAAAATGTTAAATGTTAAAGTAAAGACAAACCCAGGCTGGAACGCACCAGGCTAGGCGGTGCGATCCTGCATTTTTGCACTAAACTCGGGATCACTAATAGCAGGAATGATCCCTACTCTGTTGCCTAACACTTGGGCTCACATTGGCCGTGCTTTGGTCCTTTCTGGTACGCAGGAGAAAGGGCGTCGATTGGGAAGAAAGTCGTGCATTTTAGAGCCACATAGATCTCTAGATACATGACTATCAATTTTTTGCATGAAGCCTGGCTGTTTTTTCGGTAAAAAAAAATGAAAAATGCAAGTTTCCAGTTCAATAAAGAGTGGAAGTGTTGCTAGAGCAGTCGATTGTTAAACCCAGATTGGAAAGCACCAGGCTTGCCGGTGAGATAATGTGTTTTTGCACTTAACTTAAAGTAATTAGGCTAACTGCATGAATGGTTGTTTCTTCACACCTACCTTGTGCGCTCAATGCCGTATATCATCGTGAATTGTGCATAAATGGAAGTAAACAATTTCCGTTTAGCGGTCGTTTATTGAAAATGACCCAATTGTCAAATGAGTAATTTCCCCGCCAAAAATTTAAGTGCCAATATGCGAGAACCACGCGCACCTGGAGACTGAATTTGAAATCTTAAAGTTGTATTTGAACGGGGAATATTCTTTTAAATCTCAGCTTTCCAGTTTTTCTTGTTCCCGAGCCGGTAATTTTCCCGCCAAAATTTTCACGGGGCCGCACGTAACCTGTGGGCATACCTGGGAGTTGGGTTTGAAATATTTAAGTTGTATGTGGGCTGGGAACATCTCTTTAAAGTTTCAGTCTCCTAGCTTTCCTGCTTCCCATATTAGCCATTTCCCCTCCAAGAATTTTCATGGGAACGTACGTGAGGGCCACGCATGTTTGGGGGCTTAATTCGGTAATTTTAAAATTTTAGCCTCCTATCTTTCCTGGCTCTCAAGTTAGTGATTTTCCCGTCAGGAACCCTCACGGGGCCGTACGCAGGTACTACGTATACTTGGGGCTGAGTTTGAAATCTTTAAGTTCTATTGTGGACGGAGAACATAATCTCAAAATTTCAGCTTTCTAGCTTTTCTCGTTTCCGAGTTAGCAATTTTCCCGTCAAAACTTTCATCCTTTCGTACGCGTAACCGGGACATGCTTGAGGGCCCGCACTACAGTTCTGGAGTGGCACTTGGCCGAAGAACCCACTGGCAAAATTTTGGCATTGGAGCTTGCTTGGTTGCCAGGTTAAAATATCCGGACAGACGAAGACACACACACACACACACAAACATACATACATATACACATATACACACAGACAGGATCGTCGCAGATATGCGCTTTTGCAATTGGCATACAGGCAAAAACGCATAAAACCCAAGCATGCAAATGATCTG